CAATTAGTGAGATATAAACAAAACGCCAACACTGAGAAAAAAATGCTGTTGGTTCAATTAAAGTCTATATTACGGGCTGTCACTAACATAAGTGATTAATTCATGTATATTTTTATTGTGACACAAAAAGGTATAAATTATTATTTCAATAGTCAAGCCTTTATATCAATAAAATATACGCATGAATTAATCACTTATGTTAGTGACAGCCCGTAATATAGACTTTAATTGAATCAACAGCATTTTTTCTCAGTGTATAAAAAAGCGCTCGAAACATAAAAAGGTAACATCGAGAAATAATCTCGATGTTTGTTTTGTTCGCTTACCTAATAAAAGTAGAGTGAGGTCGGATATGGCTAGACTAAAGAGGTAGTAGTTGGTGGCGGTCTGCATGGACGAGTTTCGGACGATGACCGTGCACGTGGCGACATTGCCGAAAATTCCGGTGATGAAGATCACCACGTACGTAATCGTGAGCGGTATTACCAGCTTGAGGGTCAGATACTTGGGTCCCAGCACCTTGCTCAGGTACTCATCCTCGGTCAATTCACTTAGATCCCAGTCCCGCCAGAAATCGAGCGTGTCGTTTTCGATGTCCCCGTCCTGGTTCGACGTCCCCATGCTCGGAACCTTCGTGAGGATGTTACACGCTAGTTCGATTCATCATGACAATACCTTCACGCGTATGCACATTCCGATATCACTCGGTATCGCGCACGCAAACAAAGAAACGCGTCAGGCTCCTCGATAAATGTTCTTCTGCTGATTGTTAATGGGTCACTTGCGACGATATAATCTTCTTCTTGCAGAATCTTTCTGAGACTATAAAGAAAAACTAACACAAAGCAGATGGGATAAGAGAGTCATTTATGCATCCTTAGCTTTTCTAACTAAATACCAAGGCAGCATAGAAAGCAATTCGTGCTGATTTTAAAAGTGCGTGGATATGTTTATTATTATTTGACAAAATAAACGTTCCTCGTTTTCGTTTCCGCACTGCGAACAATTGGTTCACGTTTATAACTTTGCTGCCAAGCAAGATTATAATTATAATTTAATTGAAATTAGATTGCAATTATAAATCGTATTCAAAGAGTCAATATCACGTTTTTAATTGTTCTTCAAATATTTGCACAGCGTTACAATCCGCGATCGTCACAACACAATTGTCGCACTTCGCCGTTACCACTTTTGTCTCTTTACAAATTTTTTTTATTTTTACGTACTCGAATTTTTCGGTGATAAAACCGCAATATAACCGGAAAGTCTGCAATATTGTAATGATCGAGTTTCAATCGATATAAACGAAATTACGATCTCCGTGCTGAAAGACGTGCTGGTTACAATTTAGCACTCGCGAGATGTCAGAATAACGTAGATTATGTTCGAAAGCATACAAGTGTTTGTAATTTCAAGTGAAACACGTGTTTTCGTATGTTATGCAAGGTCACCTATCGACTGTTTTGACTCGTCAATTGGCGCTAATCATCCAAGACTACCGAACGTCTATCGCGACAAAGATGTTAGAACAGGTCTATCATCCGCGATAGAACGTCGCTGAGTACGAACTGAGCACGATGATCTTGATAATATCATTAAGAACACCTGTCGACTGTTCCGTTGCTGATAGCGAATTTCCTTCATAACGTAGCATCAAGTCAAATTAATCAAATCTTTTTTTGAAGATTGTTAGAATTTTGTAGATAATTCAGATCGATCAGTTTTAACATTCGATATGGTGGTTTCGAAACTCAAAAGAAGTTTCTTTTATAAGATTTACATAAGATTCAAGAAGTTCCTATATCGAGGTAACGATGAAAAGTTTAAAAGCAATTTTCTCCGCAGAAATGCGCAAATTTATAATAACTAGCGTTATTACCTTTCTTATAAGAGGAAATTTTCTTCAAAACATTTTTTTCGCCATCGTTCGGTATTAATTTTTAGAATCTTCTTCTAGGAGAATATTAATATGAAAGTGTATTTGTTAGAAAGATTTTTTTACGCAGCTTTGGTATTGTTTTTAAAAATTTTTTTTCTTGATCAAGGTTGTGTGTGTGTTTCGAGATTTTCTTGAAATCACTTTAGGGCGACTGTTACCAACGCCGATTAACTTAATCTACGATTAACTCAATCAACAGAATTATTATTATAAATAGGAGATTTTCATTACTTTTATCACAATTAAGTATAGGAACGCAGAGTAGAAGTATATCACGAAGAGATGAGGTTAAGAACGATATACAGTCTTGCTGTTGACTACACTGCTGATTGAGTTAATCGTCGATTAAATTAATCGGCGTTGGTAACAGTCGCCCTTAGAGTTTTAGAAGCATCTTAAGTCTGCAGCAGGCAGCAATTTTTCTTGATGAATTGCGGATTTAATAAATTACTAGAATTTATACCATACAACACAGAATTTCTAGTAATTTACTAAATCCTGCGAGAAAAATCGCACCGTCTACCACAAGCTTTAAATTAGGTTCTCATAAATTACTCGACTTATCAAACGTGACAAAATTTTAAGCGGACAAATTAACTTTTCTTTTAAATTTTTATAATATTTCGACTTTTCTACTCCGATAATTTTGTGTAGGAGATTATTATCAACTTGATTTAATAAGTTATATAAATAAAATTATAACAGAAAGCTATATAGCTTTCTTTTTTATATTGAAAAGCAGTGTTTAATAAATACGATATTAATTTAACAAAGATAGGAATTCATAATAACATTATAAAGAATATATACTCGTATACTTTGTTAAAAAAGAAATATAAACTAAATTTTGTATTTGTTATAAAATAAACTTTTATAGTAAATGTTCGACTATTGTAATAACATTTACGTAACGTCTGTGTGTGTGCAACATGTATTTTTTTAACGTTCAAAATGTACGTTGAAAAAAATCTTTGTCAAACCACACAACCATGTGTTCTCACGTGAAGCACGTAAAAACTTTTATTCCAATTTAAATAAGAAAAAATAAAGAGAATAATAAAATCAATATAAACATTATAAAAAATTATTTATTACACAGAAAATTACTCTTACTTTATTCCTTAAAAGTATATCTAAAAATGCATTTTTTTTCATAATAATCTCAATAATCAGAAATTAAATTTTAAAAATTAAAAAATTTATAATATTAAAGTTTAAAAAAATTTAATTTTTAAATTACAAAAATTTCAAGTTAAATTTGAATATTTTTAATGTTTAAAATTTTCAAAACTGGAAATGTGAAATTAAAAACTTTTTAATTTTAAAATTAATTTTAACTTTAAATTTTAAAATTACGAAATTTATAAATACAAAAATTTAAAAACGTGAAGTTCAATTTTTATGGTGTCTTATGTTGAAATAATATTATATTATAATATTCGTTGTATTATGATTCGGTTCGTTACTGCTATCTTTCGTTAAATTTCTTTTTACATATTAAAATATCAAAAACCAACTTCTTCCATGCTAGCAACATTTTTGTGCAGTATTTTTTCCTTTTTCACGTTTGTTTACGTCAAAAGGATTCAGTCGAGCTGAAGCCAGTAAATCATCCCTTATCTGTACAGAAATGACTTCTTAAGTCCAAATAAATCGTTTCTGCTAACATCACTAACATCTTTTCAATGCGAGCCGTAACGCAACTTACTTTTATGTAGCAAATCAGGACATTTATCGCGTATATTTTGCATTCAATATTGTACATTTTTGTCCTCTTCTAAACGTAAGTGAAAAATAAGAGAAAGATTCCGTCGCTTTATTCCCGTTAAGGTATTCTCGGAAAAGGAAAAGAACATTTTTCAAACAGAAAGGAATTGTGGAAGTTTTATCAATAATTGCATCCTATTGTGTCGCATCTCTGAAAACATTTTTAAATCCAACACACAATTTTCATTAAAAATCAGCAAAAATTTACCTGCATGAATCCGTTATTAATTTTATTCATACATTGTTGTTTAATTTAAAAATTTTAAGTCCGGTTGTATTAAATTTGTAGAAAATGACAAGATAAAATTGAATAATTTAAATTGATTTAGATTTAGTTTTTATAAATAACAAATTTTATAAATAATAATTAAAAAATCTAAATTATTATACAAAACGAAAGAGAAATATAATTTTCTTGTAAAGAAAATAAGATAAGAATTGGAATTGATTTCGAAAACGATTTTTAATTTCGAAACTTATTTTCACAAAATCAGTCTCCATTAGAATATTCTTTTTATTCATTTATTTATTGAAAAATCTGTATAAATTCTCTCGCGCGATAAGAAAAATTGGAAGCGATTTTTTATTATTAAGGAAACTTAGATATTCTTCCCGCATAAATACGGAACTGACATGACCGTTCCGCAAGTTTGTTGCAGCTGAAGTGCATGAGTATGTTTATTCTATCGAAACTTTTGAAAAGGAGTGACGTAACTTTTCTGAAATTGTGGAAATAGAATTTAACGAGTGAGTTTACTGTGAAGTTGCGAGCTACGCCAAGCAATATCAATTATGTGCATTAGATATAGGAAACTTGATAAAAAATTGGGTCAAGCATACAAGTGCACGCTTCAGATTTTTCAGATTTCCTTTTGCTGCGACTAGTAACTGACCTCCTTGACTTCAATTTTCTCTTCGTGAATTCTCCAAAATAGCAATCAAATAATCTTCTTGGCAATGAAATAAGCAGCTTTAAATTGCTCAAGAAGCATCAAACCATTGGATTGAAAATAATAAATGAAATTTATTAGTTATAGAAAATAAATGGAGGAGTGTGAGAAGTCAATTCCATTTATATTATTACAAAAAATTTAAATAGAGATTTTGGAGAATATAACTGGAAAAAATTTTCAAGTATTTTTTTCTTTGCAAAAAGTTTAAATTAAATTTTACAATAATTCTAAGACAGAAGACGAAGTTTGATATTATATGCACAAAAATACTTTTATTATTTAAATAAATACAAAACAATTTGCTTTTAAAATTATGTATGAAAGATATAAAATTATGTATGTACATTTTTGCATCATATGCAAAAGGCAAGTTCTGAGCTAACGAGAATCAGATTCGCTGGAATCTGTATCACTTTCACTGTCGTCTATTGTCTGATTAGGAGCGCACCTATTTGTATTTACGAAAAGCTCTTCGTCATCGCACGTAGTATAATTCGTTGCTATCAAACATCCGTTCCTTTTTGGATCCTCATCGAATTCTGGCGGCCAACAATTCTGTTCACGATACCATTTTATGTGATCCTGCACATATTTATATATAAAGATAAAATATATAAATATATATGTATATATATATATAAAAAGATAAGTTTTTGTAAAATTTTGTAATACTCGTAAAAGAATTAATTTAAATTTAATTATTTTTCATAATTATATATTGATTAGAGAATATTTTCTCTGAGACGATAAGCAAATGATATCGCTAACAATTGTAAATATAAATTGTTGTAAGATAGTGAATTACCTTTGTGAGTATCTTAACAATTTCGCCCTTGACTTTCTTGCCTTCCATTATTGGCTCGATAACAATGTAGTCACCTCTCTTTACCCAGATATTTTGCCTGAACTTAGTAGGCATCGAGACAATGTACTGCTCTCCGGCAGGAGTGACGACTTCATGAAGATTGTGACCGCGCGCCTGCACAATTCGTACGATACTTTGTGAATCCGTAGGCACGCTCATATCATCGAGCTCTTGAAAAACGTATTTGCGCTTCGTTGTTACAGATGACATTGTGATCTATAAAATTAAATGAAAAATACCATAACTTATTCTCTCGCCTCCATTTATTTTCCTTTATTGTGAGACAAAGTTGTGCATTCTCGAAAATAGCGATACAAAAATAGTTTCACAACATCTTTTTAAATAGCTTTTTATGAGACTATGGTAATTTTTTTAACGATGGAATCCGCGTCTGATTTAACTTTGCGATTTTTTGCTTCATGCCAATAGCCTAGCGAGCCGCCAGATTTTTCCAAAGCAGCCCAGATATCTAAACTTTCGCCGGGCGGTATCTCATATCCATTTTGTAAGCCGTGAGGATTGGATGGAGTCTTACAATCGTGAGTGGACTCTTTGCGAAGGACAGTATCAACTTCTACGGCAGCAAAAAACGCTACAGACATTGGCAGATCTCTCATTCCTAGTCTAGAAGCGCAGAATGATCTCGTCGTCAAGTTGGTCACGTGCATGGCCAACGCAGCGTTGTACTTATACTTGAACGGGACCAGATATCTCACTTCATCGTGAAACGATAAGCAGAATCTAGCGTTATCTCTCATCAGCCATCTCATGGAAACCAGCATCAGATGAAGGAAGTCTACCGCGCCACTCTGCACAACCCAATTAATTTTGGTGGGTAAGAATTTGTCATCATCGTCGGTATTGGTGATCTCCAGGGCGCGGCTCAATCTAGCATCAAGGAATGGCGTGACTGGATATTCACTGCCAGCGATCTGTTCTAATCGGTTGAACATGGCTGATTCCGAGCCGTCCATCCATTCACTCTTCAGGAAGATGTCCTGTAACGCTTTGCCATGCAACTTCGCTATCTTAAATGCTTGAGAGGATGTGTAGGCAATGTCTTGTAAGTCATCATTGACGAATTCAGGCTTCAACCGAAATACTTTTTTACCCTTTGTAAGAGCAAACATCTTGCGTGATTTAGAGGTAGCTTCGGCGTCCGTCATAGATGGATTGAATTGCTTCAGCAGCCGTTGGGCGAACTTCTGACCGGCACCGTAGATTCGGGCATAGTTGATGACTTTGGCGTGGTCGCGCGAAATGCCGATAGCCTTGGCGGTAACGCTGTGCATGTCGGTGCCATTGGACTTGGTGCCAATGAGGGTCATCCAACCGAAAGGCGTCGCTCCGTGGACACGCTTGTAATGTGCATCTCCGATAATCGAGGCGATCCACAACTCCTGGCTGTCTACGTCAGCACCGACAATGTTATATCCTGGCGGCGCTTGCACCATACATCTGAGCTCGGAACCAATTCGTTCGACATGTGCATTTGATGCTGTCATCCACGTGGGCTCTACAGCGCGACGTGTTAAAGTACCGGAGACGACTACCTGAGGTATTATCGCGCCATAACGCAGGTATCGCTTCGTTCTCTTGACGTTACCAGGCAGAGAGTGATTGTCCAGCCATATCACCAGTTGCGACATGATCCTGTCGCGATTATTCCGCCAGTAGGACAGCATACGAGCGATTTTCAGCACCTCCGCGGCGCTGACATCCAATCCGGCAAGTACATTCTCGGAAAACTTGTTAAGGAAGTCCTTAGCAAGCGGATTTCCGACATTGAAATTGGCACCATCCTTGTGCGGCAGCTTGAAGAAGTAACAACAGTTGTCGATATCGACGTTGCACCACACGCCAGTGCCCTTATATATTTCATTGTATAACTTATTCTGCTTCTTCTTAAATCGCCAGAATTCCGTCTTGTGAAGATCGTTTTGTACATCAGTGCTCAAGGTGGCCATCGCATCATTGGAACTATCCCTGGACGGACTGGCCGCTGGCAAAGGACACTGCGCCAAAAGATTTTCCAATGGCAGTTTGGTCTCAATGTCGGGATCGTTCCTGTAAGGTACCAAAATTCCCCAACCACGGTCCTTTATATAATGCAACGGATACTTCTCCCATGTCAGATTCAACAGCTTCGGAACTACCTGCATGGAAGTGCTAATATTTTGTGGACCTGATTCCCAGTCTTTATTTTCGCTTTGCTTAGGACAGAGTTTCCTGTACCACGCTGGATATCCTGGCATGTGCGGCATTCTAGCTGGCAATAAGTGTCTGGTTTTTTCCAAATACGCAAATTCCTTTGCTAGAGAATCCTCTTCTTCTTCCTCATCATCTGATAAATATTTAGTGTCTGACTGCTCTTTTGTTTTTTCTATTATAATTGTCTCTTCGTTAGCAGCCTTTACTTTTGAGATTTTGCTTTTCATCTTAATGTTCTGTGTGCTCCAATCTTGGTCCCACATCCACAAGTCCTTCTTATATTTCTCATCGTGCATGAGATGACAAACAGCATCGGCTCTCTTGGCGAGGGTGAATTTCGCTTCGTAATTTAAGTCGTCAAAGGTCGACTCTGATTCCTCCAAGTACCTTTGCCAATTGGAATTCACCGGCAAGTATGCTGAACTAAGTTCCAGCATTCCTGCCAAAGTAACTGGATGAGGGAATCTTTCTTGAAAGAGTAGGAATAGTTTGCATAGTATATTGTGAGTAGCAACTACATCAGAGGCACAGTAAGACATCAACATACTGAAATTATCTTTAATATCTTTAATAGTACCTTCGACAAATAAATTTCTTCCTTCTTTACTTATCTCGTAGCCACAGTACAGCTTATGCACTTCTATTAAACTGTTCAATGAAGTGGTAGACTGCCAGATCTCTTTCTCCATGTCCGCTTTCTTAGATACTAATAGCGCTCTTTGATAACTGTTGAGACCACTGACACATACATGTAATGACATAGTGTCAAGAAAACGAGTTCCTGTGGAATTCAACCAATACTGCTCCTTAATTCTACTTCTGTCATACGACACATTGTGACCTACAATAATTTTTGGTTTTTTCTGATGCTGGTTCAGTCTATGTCCATATTCCTCTTTGCTACTCTCTATAGGAATAAGCATATTTGGTGTAAACAACTGTGTGTCAAACGTTTGACTAATATTTTGTGCCAAGGAATTTGATACCCAACTGTACCAGGCTTTATCACTGACCGCAGTGGCTAGAGTAGGCAAAGGACCCTGTTTCATGCAGACCTCAACGTCGAAAATTAGACCATCTTCTAAAGGGTAATCTATGCTTTCTACTGTACCATCTGCTGTATATCTAGTCCAACCTTCTTTGAAGAGCCATCGTGTTGGCATTTTAGGAATATCGTTCATAATATCACTTATAATTTTTAAATAAGGCTTAGCTTGTGCTTTTCCAATATTATAAAAATGTTCCTCTATATCTTTTCCTTCCAAAGCCGGTAGTTTCAAGTTTACGTCTGGCAACCTGGTTGCATCTTCCATGTTTATACCATATGTGATTAAATTTTTCTTTATGCTATCAATTTCCTCTTCAGACAGCGAGTTTTCTTTATCATCTTTTCTGAACAATTGTTGGTGCAATGCTTTGGGTAACATTTGCATATTTATTTCGTTAACTCGAACATTATCATTCTTCGAATTTGCATTTGAATCAATATTTATACTATTTTCTGATTCCCTTAATTCTTGAGACTCATTTTGTTGTAATTGTTGATCCAATTCAGTTACTTGCCTGTTTATATCGTGAATGTTTGTACTTTTATTGCTAGATTCTATGTCTGAATTTATATTCTGTTCTGTTGTCGATTTCTTTGATATTTGTATGTTAACATTCAACTTGCTTGGCATTTTCTCAGACTTAGCAAATAATTTGTGGTAGCCCATCTCAAAATTAACTGGTATCACAGGCGAATTGCGAAGAGAGTTTGTGGTTGATTTGTCGTTCTTAGAGGTTAGATTCTCTTGATTAGATTCTTGGGAGTTCTTCAGACGAACCCTCTTCCACTGAATCCTGGAAAGATGAATGCCGTCCTGCGCGTTGGTGCATTTGTGCCGAATGCAAATGTTAATCAAACGAGTCCTCAGTCTCATCTTTACCACTTCTCCATTCAATATCACGCGGCTATAACGAGACACGTGCTTCGACAGCCGGGACTGTCGAAACACCGTGCACATTACGAAGGAATCTCTGAATTTTCAATTAAAAAATAACGAAATCTTACCTGATCGCACTGAATTAAACAAATTGCGTTTTTTTCTGATAGAACAATATTCGATGAATTTCGCAAAATTGTATTTTGGTGAAGTAAACATCACATACATTCGAGAGATGCTTTGATGCTTCTCGTCTGAAATTAGGCGTTATTAGACAGGTTTGCCATCCTATTTGTCATCATAGCCATCCTATTTCAATTCTTCGAATGTGGCCTAACTTCAAATGGAAAATACGCCTCGTCATTTAATTTATCTAAAGGAATAATAACTTCGATTTTCTCCCTTCTAAAAGAAATTATAAATTCCATAAAATTATATTTCGATAAAACAAGTGTCGAGAAACTAGAGTATGTACAGTGTACTACGTGCACTGAAGTACACCTCGTAGCCCGGATCCTCATACGGGCAACAGCGCTTTGACACTGAACGCTGATTGGTGAAAAACGGGTGATGGGGGTAAATTTTATCCCCACAACCGGCTTTTCACCAATTAGAGCTTTGTGTCGAAGCGCTGTTGCCCGTATGAGGATCCGGGCTAAAGATAGGCACTTTTAGGCGGCGTCCTTAGATTGGCCATCCTGTTCCAGTTCCTATTCCTAACTTCAGACGCAAAAAGCCATATTGCACTCTTGATCACGCGATTTTGAAAATCAATAGCGGATGTGCCTCTTGCTTTCTATTTTTAATTACAACTTTCTCTATGGTAATTGTACGAATAATAAAATGAATACGTAAACACATTAATTGGCTAATAGTATCCATAGTTTGTTGAGGAAAACCAGTCGCGAGTCAAGTATATAAAAGCTTTCACGGCTTATAATAAATTCGAAAGATATAATTCACACAAGTATTTATGAATTTATTGTTTCTGTATATATACATATATATATATATATATGAATATAAATAAAACCTTACATATGTATGTAAGGTACTATATTTTTCATTTATCTGTATATAATGCTTTTATTTGCATTGTTATCTATTAGTTATCGGCATCATACATTATTAAGTTTAAAAAACAAAGAATAATTTAAATGCGATAAATTAATTTTTAAACTAAATCTTTAAATAATGATTAAGAAAGTAAACGAACATTAAGAAAGTGCCTAATATAATATATTTTTGGCCAAGACTGTATATTAATATTAATCTATATATATCTATTATATATATACATATATAAAATAAATATAATATAAAAAATATAAATTATATATACATATGTGTGTGTGTATGTGTGTATATATATAAAAGCACTTGTTCGAAAATCTAACGCGTATACATCGATTCTCATATCGTGACCGTGACGACATCTCGGCGTTCGTCAGTTTATTGTGTTCATCATGGCTTCGACGGGTTAGTAATCGTCGCGAGAGTGCCGCTTAATTTTACGTTTTAATTTATTTACAGCGTGACGAGATGACGAAATGCGTTACAGACGAGAGATCGTTTGTCTCACACTTCGCGAGATTGTGGTCACTTGTCGTACCGGCGTGATTTACTCTCACGTTTCTGTTCGCATTTGTCACTCTGGCTTTGCCCGTCGCCGTTGTTTACATACGTCGCGAATGTTTCAGGATGTGTTCGCGAGTTACTGACGGCTCTTTTCTTGTTTCCAGAATCTCTGGTGTGCGACACCCTCGATCTGAGCGGCCAAGGCCTCAAGAAGCTCAGTCGGTGTCCCTCAGACGCTGATATTAGTACGTTGATCATTGACGACAATGACTTACAACGGCTCGATAATTTGGATTCTTATCACAGAATTACGAAGGTAATAGAATTATTAATGTAATGCACAATTTCTGTCAATTTATATTAACATAGATTAACTTTAATCCTGATTTAACTTACTCTTTATTTTTTTTTCCCAGTTCTACGAATTAGGAAAAGGTAAAGAATAAATTAAATTGAGAAAAGCTCATCTATATTGATAGAAATGGATATTCAAGTCAAAATTATTGTTAGAAGATTATTAGTAAAATTATTAATTTGTTTATGTAATCATAGTTTCGGAGCACAACAATATTTCTTAGTTTTGTGCTCTATCCCTATACTAAGATATATTTTTATCGTTATTTCTTTATTTAAGATATTTTAAAACTAGATTTTATAATAGTAAAAAGATAAATAATATAAAATTACAGCAATAATTTGTAGAATTATAACTTGAAGTTATTTTGTGAATGTGATGTAAAGACAGTTTGTTGTGTTCAAATACATATGCATTCTACAGTTCTATTGCTTTCAGCTTTCAATAATCAGAAATCAATTACTACGGATGTATGGTGTGTCAAAGTTACATAATCTTGTTACCCTTAATTTGGCGAACAATGGTATACTCACAATAGAAGGTATCAAGGATATGATTAATTTGCAGACTCTCTGTTTAGCGGGTAATAATATCAAGGTACGATATACATGTTACATTATGTAAGATTACATGATTGTATAATTATAGCAATGTATTGTAATATTACTATTGTATAATAACAATATGTTATAGTCTATTGAACATTTACATACAAATACCAAATTGGAGCACCTGGATTTGTCTGAAAACAGTATCAGCCATATTTCAGATATATCTTATTTACGAAATTTAAAGGTATTGTTTGTTTGTTTAATTTTTATTTTTATATGAAATTGTTATACGTTAATCATTAAATGCTTTATTAATTCGTTGCTTTATTTGATAGATTGAGTTTATAATCGGTATATGTTTTTCGTATTTTTGTAAGATAAATAACATTTTAGGAACTGTTTTTGCATAATAATCGTATAATAACACTGCGTCAGTGCGAGCGCTACTTGCCCACATCCTTAGAAACATTTACATTAGCGAATAACAATATTACTGACTTGAATGAAATGTCACATTTGGCTAATCTAAAAAATCTGGTCAATTTCTCGATTGCTAACAATCCATGTGTCAGTATAACAGGTAACAGTATGTATCCTTTTTCCAAATCATAATGTGCGTTATTCCACCTAGAAATTAGCAGACCTTTTTCTTGATGTTATTTTTTAATATTAATTATAGTACAAAGAATTTTATTGTTACTGATATGTTATTATAGTATTTAATCTTTTTAATTATCAAGCATTAATTTTTGCCGATTTTAAATATTGCTTCCATGGTTACTAGACATAAGAAAATTAGTTTATATTAATCGTAGCATTGTTACAATAGCATATTATTCTTAACAAATGGTCTATAGTGGGTTTGACTATCGGCCTTTTGTTATTAATTGGTGTATGAGCTTAAAATCAATCGACGGTTATGCGGTCGATCCTATTGAAAGGTGGGTTTTCTTAAAAATACATTTTCTTACATCATTAATCTTTTATGAAAATTAATCCGTTAATATTGTATGAAAATTAATTGAATTTTGACAAGATCGAAACTGATTGGCAATGACTCACTTTACTTAGCTTGAAAGCAGAGTGGCTGTATTCTCAGGGACGAGGTAGACAATTCCGCGTTGGTGAACATGCCTTACTTGCTCAATATCTTGCGTCCGTCTGTCCACTTTCGGGCGAGTCCTTAGAGAACGAGACGGACCGGAAACTTAGACTTATACTGAGCAAAGCTCAACATCACCAACAGCAGTTGAATCAACAGAGCGATACCGGGAGCGTGCACAGCTTGAGTAGCGTGACTATGAGTCCTTCCCCAGCCGCTAGACGTAGACTTAGCCATAACAGGACAAATTCTCCCAGACGACCTAGTGAGTCCAAATAAATCCATGTTTTTGCATAGTGCCATACCAAAAACTCTGGAATGAATTCGTTTTTTTCGAGGATTCTTAGAACTAGGTTTATACTCGTTAGTTGCGACAAGTAGACTAGTAGTAATTTAGATTGTCCAGTCGTCAAGTTCTTCAGTACATACACCCTAGTTATGATCTGTTTTCTCTAGTGCCAATGTTGACATACTATGAAGATAAATACTTACAATCACCAAAATTTTATGAGGCAAAATACTGTGTCTGCCATATTCCTTGCAAAGGTATCCAAGGTCTCATATTGAGGATTTATCATATATTGAATAAAACCACATTTACATATAATAGGAATGTGTAAGAATCTGAGGAAAAAATTTTTTGTGTTAAGACTCGTATTTTTTATAGTACAATTATATATTCAATACAGTAAATTAAATTGAATAAATAAAACTTGTATAATTTATTTTTAATCTTTTTACATAAATTATATATATATATATTAATATTGCATTATTATTAAGTGTATATATAAATATTTTCATATTCTTATATTTTATTTTTCCTATATGTCACTTTTAACAAATCTATTATTTAATTATTTATTGTACGATTGAAACATATAAGAATTAATTGGTCTGGATTCATGCACATGCCTATAGTTCTCTCATGCATAGTACTTTTTAAGCAATTGCTTCCTTAGGCTTATAGTGCAAACGACCGTTGGCCAATGAAGCAGTAAAAATATCAACACGAAGGCGCTATATTTAGAAGATTTAGCATATTAGTATAGGACGATTTGAAAAGATGTTCACATTTCTTTTTTTAAATAGCATTTAATTTCGATTAGTAGACTATGTATATTGTTTGTGCATGTTTTTGCTAGCAGTGCTAGCATCAGAAATTATCCAAACACAAATAAATTTTACAAATATGATAAAATTTCGTTTATTGCACAATAAGCGTTGATTATAGTGTCAAACAATATTTTGTCAGCTCCCTCAAGGAACTCCTTGAAAATGAAATCGCCAGATCGAATGGTATCCAGCTGTCACACTGATGCTATGGTTTCTTCATGTCATGGTTTATTGAGCGGCGATCATGAGTCAAATCTGATGACCCAAAGTTTAGATCCTAATATGCTAACTAGTATGGCATTGAACAACAAAACATTAAACAATAGTTTGCAAGACATGGAAGGTAAGACAGTTATACAATTGATTGAGTTAGATTAAACGGAATTAGATTACGACAAAAGATATTTTGTCCAGAGACATCAAGTCCTCTGCAAGCGGCTACGAAACTAGTACCAGTACCAGAGTCTCTGATGAGTCCAGATTTTCGTCCACCGTCTGGCCTTTCGCGGATT